AGTTGCAGAGGTTGGTGGATGAATTTGGTAGGGTATGTAAAAGAAAATTAAAAGTGAATACAGGAAAGAGTAAGGTTATGAGGATAACAAAAAGATTAGGTGATGAAAGATTGGATATCAGATTGGAGGGAGAGAGTATGGAGGAGGTGAATGTATTCAGATATTTGGGAGTGGAAGTGTCAGCGGATGGGTCTATGAAAGATGAGGCGAATCATAGAACTGATGAGGGGAAAAGGGTGAGTGGTGCACTCCATCACTTAGTGATGGAGTGAATGATGGTAAAAGTTTTTCTTTTTTGGGCCACCCTGCTTTGGTGGGAATCGGCCAGTGTGCTAATAAAAAAAAAAAAAAAAATAAGCAATTGGTAAATAAATGCAAAGAAAATGTTAAACCACAGTTCCAAGGGCTTCATGCTGAGGATAAAAATGAAATGCAGTGAAACTGTTTACTAGTAAACAATTAAAACAAATAATAAATTAATGAAACCAATAATGAAAAAATACAGCAAATATGGTGTGCACCTTATACAACAAAGAGTAGGATACCTTCTCAAGTATTACCCCAAAGACCATACAATTAAATACATCTACACAAATTTTTAAATAAAATTATTCTCAAAACCCAAATTAATAAAAGCTGTAATTAGCTTACAGAAGTGCATCCCTAAACATTTACCCTGATCCTATCCATACCTAATGAACCTTTGCAAGTCCCATCAATTTTCTCCATAGAACTTTTTTAATGAACTGGCCATCTCCCACCAAGGTAGGTTGAACTCCTTCCCCCAAATAAAAAAGAGGAAAGACACTGATTATTCATTTAATCACCGTCTTGCTAGAAATGTGCTGACATGAGTCAGGATGACCCTCTGAACTGCAATATCCTTGTCCCCCCTCTAGAATGCACAATACTCCCCACCTCTAGAACTCAAAAGTCCAGCTAGCCTGTTTCCTTGAATTACTTCATAAATGTTATCTTTCTAACACTTCAACAGCACATCAAAAACTACTTGTCTCTATTCACCCTGATCTAACATGCACAAACATGCCTGTTGTGCATTCAAGCCACTAACACTCAACCTCCTCTACCTCTTAGGATTGAAAATGAACAGAGATAATGACTTATTAAAAGTTTTCAGAAAGAGACTTGCTACACTTTTATTTTTTAAACATCAGCCATCTCTCATCAAGGAAAGATGACCCCAAAAAACTAAACATTCACCACCATTTATCTAGTTGTCTTACCAGAGATGTGCAGACTTTACAATTCAAAAATTAAAATGAAGCTCTGAACTGCATCATCCTCACCTCTCCTTCGAAGTGCAGGCACTAAAATGCATCATCCTCACCACTCCTTCGAAGTGCAGGCACTAAATTGCACCAACCTCACCCGTCCTCCAAGTGCAGGCACTAAACTGCATCATCCCCACCCCTCCTCTAGAGTGAGGGCACTAAACTAAACTTCCCACCTCTAGAAACTGATTTTTTCCTGAATCCATTCTTTTAAGAACCTTTCTTCATATTTGTGGTATTCCTCAATCAATTAACATACTACTATGCTCACCTGCATTTATCTTCACATACATCTGTACTAATTCAACAAACCTTCAGATCCTTCTTTCTTTACTACTGAAAGTGTCCAAGTGTTAACCCTACTTGTTAATGAATTAGTGCAAGATGTGAACAGGAACAAATTAACAAAACAGCTGTAAAAGTATCAAATAAACCTTACAGCTCTGTACAAGGAAATTACAAAAGATACAAATCAACAGTTTGTGGAATAAGCCTCAATTCTGTAATATTAAGTTTATGACATTTTATGCCAACAAACATACCCATAAAATAGATGTGGGGAAAAAGGTGAGTGGTGCATTGAGACATCTATGGAGACAAAAGGGTAAATGTACCTGATTATAATGGTACCAACACTTTTACAAGGGTGTGAAGCACGGATTTTAAATGTTGAAGTGAGGGGAAGGCTGGAGCCAGTGGAGATATGTCTGAGGATAATGTGCCATGTGAATATTATGCAGAGATGTCATAGTTTGAGGTGCGGGGTCACTGACAGTATTATTCAGAGAGCTGAGGAGGGACTGACAAGATGGTTTTTAACTTTTAGAGAGCATGGAGCAAAACAGGATGACTTAGAAGATGTATAAAGCTGTGGTGAGGGAAGAAAGGTTGGAGGGGATAAAGGAGGTTTTGTGTGAGGGGCTTGGAAATCCAACAGGCATGTGTGAGCTTGTCACATAGGAGTGGGGGCAAGTGGTTTTCATGATTGCTGTTGGAGAAAGAGCAAGGTAACATTTATGATGGGATTCAGGAAAACTGGTTAGCTGGACTCGAGTCCTGGAAGTGAAAAGTACAGTGCCTGCACTCTGGAGGGGCATCTGAGCTGTAGTGATGGTGAATGTTTCTTTATCAGGTCACCTTACCTTGGTGGGAGATGGCCAGTTAAAAAAAAAAAAAACCTGTTGGAAAATTCTTCACCCCTTACTATAGTCTTATTATTTAGATCTACTTTTCTTTTACTCATATGGATATCCACAAGGTGCCCTTACCCTATTCTATGACTGATCATATATAATAGAAAGAATAAAAAAATTATAATCAAATTAAGTACCAAACACACAAGTTATACAGCACTGCAGGGAGGGATGTATAAAAGAAATGAATGAAGTTTAAGAATGAACAAGAGGTAGAGGTGTATATAAAATTAGGGGTTAGCAGGGGTGGAGGCTAGTGCTAGAAAAATTGAAATCAAAGTTAGTGTAATAGGTCAGATTCAATTACAGTCAGTGAAATTCTGCATCAAAGGTGGGACTTTTGCCAAGGTAAATGAGTGTATGTTGGAGCGGTTTAGACATCCCAAGTAGATCCGTGTGCACTCCGATGGGCAGGACAGTCTATTCGAGATGTTGGATGGATAATGCAACCTGACAATCCTCACAGTGGTGTTAGTCATTTCTCAGTATGATCCGAAAGAGAGTAGTGTGTTCAACATAACAACGCGAGTGTGTAGTCTCCCAAAACAGACAGTGTGAAAAAGATGACCAGAATCCTAAATGTAGCTTAACCCTTTCAGGGTCCAGAGGCCAAATTTCAAAGTGTGCACCAGGGTCCAAGAATTTTCAAAAAATAATTTTGTTATTTTTTCTTATGAAATGGTAGAGAATCTCTCTGAGGGTAATAAAACAAAAAGTACAAAATTTTATGGAAAATTGACGAAATTATGCTCTCGCGAATTTTGATGTGTTGGCGAAATTTATGCATCAGCGATTTTGCCGACTTTGACTCCTATTTTAGGCCAATTACAGTATTCCAGTCAACCAAATTCTTAGCTATTTCACTAGTATTACTTCTATTCTATCGATTGAGCACAAGAAATCGCGAAGTCAACTGTTTCAACAACAAAATAAAGTGACTGGAAATTGGTAATTTGGCCAAGTTAATGCAAAGTTCAAAATATTCCAATTTCAAAATAGGGTCCCGAATAAACAATGCAGGCATTCCTGGCACTAAATTAACATTTCCTCTGTTCATTAGTTACATTTTCAGGCTTTACAAATGAATTCCATTTTGATTATTTATTCACACAATGAATTTTTATTCAAACCAAAAAATAGAAGATTTACTGTTATGCAATACTGTAATAATTGTATAAATAATATCACCACATTTGTCAATGTATATCAGACCCACCAGCTGTCATGTATTAGACTTGTGAGGTCATTTGTTTACTCTTGAACATTGGCAAAATTTTTTACATTTCTGCTACTTTGAGCTCAGTTTCAAGCCATTTCCAGTACTAAAAACCAATCAAAATAATCTCTATTTCTGTAGTATATCTTCCATTCTATCAAATGAGACCAAGAAATTGCAAATACAACTTTAAAAAACATACAAAAAAAACACTGCAAATTCGCTGTTTTAATCGAAAATTACGGTCTCGTTTTTTTCTCTAATTATGCACTGTGTGCTGCAGGATTTGTTTTATGTAGTGCACACATACCACATAGATGCATTCTCTCGTATCTAGACCCAAATTTACTGCTCACAGCGTGCTGAGCTCATGGCATAAATCTACGGTTTGGACCCTGAATGTGAAGTGTAGATCTATGGCACGGACCCTGAAAGGGTTAATGTAACTTACTTTTGTGCTTGCTAGAAATGTGATATAGCCAAAGCTGTGTATGAAAGATGATAGGAGTACAATTTCTGGATAGCCTGTAATTAACTTTGAGTCCAAAACAACCATGAATGATAATGTGGACATGGTTGCAACATGGATGATAGTGAGAATTATATATAACTAGCCAAGAAAAAACTAACCTATTCTAATCCATGACCTCTGATTCATTTAGGAAAAATAGCTACATACCAAACACCACTGGGGGATTTAGAACCTTGTATACACTGCAATAGCACAAGAGCGAGATTGGAAGTGATCGAGAAAGAGCGAGTCAAAATTTGCAGAAGGCAAGCAAGTTTTTGTACATGAAAGTGGGAAAAAGCAAATATTAATCGTCTGAATTTCCCAAGGAGGGAAGGAAAACTAAGAGAGGTAAGGTGAACATAAAGAAGAGTTAAATTCAGGAAGCCATGAGAGAACAAATATAAAGAGAAATGGAGAGTAATAAATAGGGGTGACAAATAAATTAAACCTACTAATATCAAGTTAGCATTCTACATGTGGGTCATGGATGGAAACAAAATTTAGTAATATTTTCCTGTCATATTCCCTCCCACAGGATAAATGTCAATCAAAAGGATATGAAATTTATCAGTTTGATCTGAGATACTTCAGTAGGTCAAAAAGGACATTCTCAAATATACATTATGTACGTTTGCATACTGGTCATGGAGCCTGTCATAAGTCTGAGTTGTTGGTAAACGAGTACGTCGCTAAGTGAGGAGAGGCTGTACAACGGTAAGAATGTGCTGTAATGAAGTACAATAAAGCAAATACAAATCAACCATGAGAATAAGAAATGCTCTCACCTTGGGTGCCAGGCAGCCAGTTGGGTGGTGGTGGTGGCGGCGGTAGCTGTGCCGGACAAGCTGAAAACTCCAAACTCCAATATTATTTTTTACAAAATTATAATCGTTTGCAAACATTTTAAACTTGTGATTTTTAAAAGACAATTAACATTTTTTAGTAATATTATACTAAATATGGAATCTGAAAACCTGAGAAACTGTGATGACTTCATCTGTCAAACACTCCAACTTGCATGTATATTCATTCACTCATTAAGGCATCAAATATCTTACTCAATACAGCATGCATTAGCAAAATTAATGCCCATCAAACCTAACACAAAAGGGTAAATATTTAATTGAAGAACTGCAAGCACACAATATCAAATATTACTTACAAGTTCTGGAATAAGTTTCATAGACTATTTTTTTAGTCAAACTTTCCACTTTCTCCTCTTAATATGCGAACAAATGTTGCATTTGCCACTTAAAGAATGTTGGTTTCAATCTACCTCTTACGTCCTCTGCTTGCTGAACCTCGGCCTCTATTTCTTTTATTTTTTGTAGCCCTAGTTTTTTTATCACGTCGATTAGCACCACTCTCAGAACATCCACCGAGGGAATCTTTGGGTGGGGTGTTCACAACTGTTTCTGGTACCCCTCTTTTACTTCTCCTGCCAGCTGCTCTTGTTGTCCGACACTGATTGGAGAGATCTTTGGAAACATTACTTTTGCCAACAGCAGCAATATTGACTGACTGGGCTTTCCTACGTCTAACTGGTCGCCTAGATAGAGGTGGAGGCTTTGCATTGGAGTCCAGTAACTGACATGATTCATCTTGGATTTCTGGTAATAAATTTTCACTACTGTCTTCCTTCTTTTTACCTTTACTAAGTACTTTAACTGATTTTACTTTCAACTGTTTATGCTTCTCTTGGGCTGGTTCATAAAGCAGATTTCCAAAAGAAATGGATGTGTTCAAATTATTATTCCTTGTAGATGAATCACTTTTTATTTCTTGACTGATTTCCTGGAAACCCTTCAGTTCCTCCATATCCGGCTCAAATGAATGAATTTCTTGACCATCAGCAGACACCATACAATATGGAACACCCCCAATCTCAATACCCTGATTTGTCTTGCCATCTCCAACACAATTTTTCACAGTCTCCTTTACAGTATTAACTTCAGCGAGATTACCAGTTAAATGTTCCTTACATTCAGTACGAATGTCCTCTTCCATTATCCTGTTACTCTCATTGGAAAGAGTTTCCTTTTCTACAGTGTTATGAGAATTTTCACTTACATCCTTGAACTCATTTTTACATAAAATAGCTGTACCATCACACTCACTAGTGTTGTCTTCACTACCAACTCTACATCTTTTGTGCTTTGCATTATCTTTTTCTTCTGTGGATACACTGTTTACTAATGAATTTTCACACTCCCTCTCTCTCTTGAGTTTCTCATGCACATTTGTATTTTCTTGTTCCAAAGCAGGCACAGTGTGTACACCTTCCTTCAAGTTGCTGCTTATACCTTTAGCATGACTGACACTTGGTTTTATTGATGCTTCTAGTGAAGCTTCTTTAATTCTAAAATCCAAAGGGATGAATGCTTCATCCACATGTCCACTACATTCCCTTTGAGTAACCTCTGTAACTGGAGTCTTTTCAATAATGGCTTCCCCAACATCATCTGGTTTTGTTTTCCCAGTCCCAGCATCTAATTTCATTCCTCTACTTGGTCCCATACTCCCTTTCTCAGAACATGGTCCTCTTTCTATTAGCCCTTCACTTGGTCCCACCATACCTGTCAATGTATCTAATCTTGTCTTTTCTGCCCCTATATCTGGTCCTATCCCTCCTGTCATTGTGCTTGATTTCTTCCCTGTTCCAGAGACTGCTACTGTTACATCAGGTCCTGGTCTTTCCTGCTCCATGTTTAGGCCTGTCTTCTGTGATCCTTTGTCCAATTTCTTTACCTCTGCCCTAAGATTTGGTCCTGGTTTCCCTTTTCCCATGTCTGATTTCATCTTTGCTACTGAGGTGTCCAGTTCTATTCTCCCAGTCCCTGCATTTGACCCTGCCCTACCCATCCCTGTCTTAGTACATCTTAACTGCTCCTCAGTCTTTGCTGTTAAACTTGCTGCTGGGCTCATCAAACCACAGGATCCATTTCTGGGCTGAGCAAGGTGCTGGTATGTGCAGGAGTCATCATTGCAGCGGCCCAGCAAATCGTAGGGACACAGAACATTCATCTCGTCAAGCTTCTCTCCACTGTATTGTGCAAGAATCAATGTATTAAAAGGTGTGATATATAAAAAACTTAAGCTAAGCATAACATCCCATTTAAAGATATGTAGTTACTTTGCTCTGAGAAGCTAGACAGCTACATGAATAATGGTAAAGTTGCTATCTGTACCTGAAGTCAAATCTTCAGTGCAAGAATATCAACAAAAACAATTACGTGTAAATCAAATACATGAAATACTGTTAAAATAAACATATATAAATATAGAAAGAAATAACAAATGGTGATAAAAGCTTTCATTTGCATTTAAAAATATCTTGAAGTAGATGAAGTCTTTGATTTCCTATTTGATGACTTGCAAAAATTTAGAAATTTAAGATTCTGCACAAGCTGTGAATTTATTGAATCTGTAAATACAATATAGAATAGGTGTACGTATTTACTTTAATATTAATTTACAAAATGCATTAACATAATGCACCCTTTCAACTCTACACATATTAAAAATTTTTTCGCTATTTACCAGACTGATCCATGCAGGTTCTATGATCAATGCCCATAATGAAAAAGAATGAAAGTGTTGTTACTGTGTATGTTAAGTGCTATGCCAATGCTCCTTTTTTTTTTTTTTTCATCTGAAAGGTGTAAACTTGTGTGGAATGTTCATACAAGCATCACAAAAATTGAAAATGTCAACATGTGAATACAAGTAAAAAATACGCAAAATCAAAATTCTTTGTTTACCTTTGTGTTTTTTTTTTTTTTTATCTTTTTACCAGAATTCACATGATGTCACTTCACCCCTCACATGTGAATCCACATTTTGTAGCATACTCATGTCAGAACTACACTTGATGTTATCTACTGCTTAAAAGCACTTTGAAGAGCAATCCTCTTTAAACTACAGTAGACCATTGATTAACAAGTGATCTATTAACACACTGAAAATTAAGGATATTTTCAATTAGCACGTGGTATTTACCATTTAGCAGGGAGTAAATTTAGAAGAAATTACATGTATCTAAAAGGCAGTAAATGAATTAGGATTAGAGTCAACTAAGTTTAATGTGAATACAATACCTAGCGTATATGCACTGAACATCAGTTACATTGTTAAACTTCTATGTCGTGATAAACGAGTCACATTTACTGGTTTCATAGGTTCTGCACCTGTCCGTGGAAGAATACCACAACTAGTTACATACCCTCCGCTTCTCTTCAGTTGTGAAATCAAGGTTAAAAAGTGAGAGGAGCCTAGATATAATGTGTATACAAAACCTACTTCATTTTTTTCTTAACACATCAACCGTTTCCCACCGAGGCAGGGTGTCCCAAAAGGAAAAAACTTTCATCATTCAACACTTTCACCATCACTCATACATAATCACTGTCTTTGCAGAGGCGCTCAGATATGGCAGTTCAGAGGTCCCTCCAAACTGCCAATATCTCAAACCCCTCCTTTAAAGTGAAGGCATTGTACTTCCCATTTCCAGGACTCAAGTCTGGCTAACCAGTTTCCTTGAATCTCTTCACAAAATATTACCCTGCTCACACTCCAACAGCTTGTCAGGTCCCAAAAACCATTCATCTGCATTCACTCATAACATGCTCATGCACGCATTTAGTTGTTAAACTTGTGTTTTATCATAAATCAACAAGGACATGTATTAGGGTGTTGTCCCTCCCTCTACTCCATACTTTTATTAATGAAAATGCATGGGAAATAATACTTTAATTTTTTAAATAGAATTACTATGTACAAAATACACTCAGTGGCCATTATTAGGTACATCTGTTCATTAATGCAAATATCTAATCAGTTAATCATGTAGCAGCACCTCAGTGCTTAAAAGCATACAGACATGGTCAAGATGATTAACTGCTATTCAGACCAAACATCAGAAGAAAGAAGAAATGTGATTTAAGTGACTTTGACAGTGGAATGATTGTTGGTGCCAGATGGGGTGGTTTGAGTATCTAAAAAACTGCTGACCTGGTATTTTCATGCACAAGTCTAGTATTTACAGAGAATAATGTGAAAAACAAAACATCCAGTGTGTGGCAGTTCTGTGGGCAAAGATGCCATTAATGAGAGGCCAGAGAAGAATGGCCAGACTGCTTCAAGCCAACAGGAAGGCAACAGTAACTCGAATGACCATGTGTTACAAGAGCAGTCTACAGAAGAGCATCTCTGAATGCACAAAATGATCATAATTTTCTTATTTTGGGGATAACTTGCACTCATATTATGATATTACTATGGTTATATTTAACTAGTACATCATGTTTTATGGCTAGTAATATATGGTATTTTTACCAATGTTTGCATGTAATTGTGGTAGTGGTGGAGGAAGGTGATAGTTGTGATACTGCCTGTCATGTCTGTACAGGGGCATATCAATTCTCACATACATCTGTATCAACAAGCAATGACAATTATAATAAAACAAATATTTTTTTTTGTCTTGATTAATTGTGAAGCTTAAAATGAAATTTGTTTCCCATTTATTGGAGAGGGGGGAGCGGGGCTTAATTTTTTTCCCCAGGTGTTTTCCAGTTCATTTTACAAGAATTTTTTAATTACAGTTTTCAGAAAGGTAACTACTTTGTTAATCAATGGCCAACTTTCACTTCCTAACCCCACAAAAAATTATTTAAATTCATTACAGCCCAATATAAAAATAGTGGTATAAAAAAATACAAATGTGCACTACACGAGTATTCTATAAATATCCAATATGTGTAATTATTACTTGTTCCTGCTAGGAACTCCTAATCTAACAGGTCCAAGGGAGGGGGTATGCAATATACAGAATTTTTCAACATTTAGAAACTTAGAAAACCGGATAGACCAACTAGTGCTGCAGTTTAATGTAGCAAACACCATATTTATGGTAAAAGTAGTGATGTTCCTTTCTTTGTCAATAGTATTTCCAAGAACTATAATGCCTATGAAAATAATCCCACTTGACAATAAGTGTAATTTTGCTTAGCAACAAAGGATACAGTTGGGAACATTTTAATAAATATCAAATTGACCCTTCTTGCCCCTCCTATTTAATATGAGCTCACCATTACAAACTTCAAAAGCTATAGAAATTAAATATTTCCCTTACCTTTGTGGAAGACAGCTGGTGAAGCATAAAAAAAATACATATAGCATAAATAACAAACAAGAAAAACTCACCCTTCCAATTTATCTAAATGTGCTTTATTTCGTTGGATCGGTGATTGTCCAACCAATTGCCTCGGACACAATGCAGCACTCAAGTTCTTCCCTCCACCTGGTGATGCTTTTTCCTCACAAGTGTTGTTTCTTCCTCCATCTTGGATTTTAGCTACTTTCACCACTCTCTCATCACTAGATGGGGGTTCTTTACGTTTCAGCTCATTGTTTACAAAAGACAGATTCTTAGTAGAGTCATCTTTGCTCTTTGAAGAACTTGTTGCTTTAGAGCTTTGTTGGTTAATTTTATCTTTAAGTTCTTCAGCCTGGAATAGAGTTTTAGCAGCATTTTTAACATTACCTTGAATGGCAGTACCATGCTTGCCCAAATAACAGTTTGGTGTCCCTGTCATTTGTACTAGTCTTGACTCTGTTGCAGGATTCTTATCTGCCCTTAAGAGTCCTTTACTATTGCCAGTATGTCCATGGTCATCTGCTTTTAGGGCAGCAACTTGCAGTCTGGCTTTGCTTTTGTTCGAGACATCACGCATCTGCTGGCGAAGAGCATCAATGTTGCTGGCAAGCTGTTTCTTTCTAAATGCCTCCTTAGTTTTGGAATGTGGTGATCCTAGAACTTTAGGAAGACTGTAGCTACTTCCGAATTCCTGTAATAAATAATGTAGTAAACAATGTTATTGCATAGGGGTTAACACTGCATACAGTACATTAACTTTTAAATTAGCAATATCAAAAAAACCCACAAGATTGATCTTATGGTCTTCATGTGCAATGGTGAATGTTTTTCCCCTCCCAAGTTATAGTTTTCAAGAATGAAAAAAAAAAAAAAGGAATGAAAGGGGAAATAAGTACATAATGTTTTCAGGGCTACAACTCATCTTCAGTAATGTTTTTCACAAGTTTATAGGTGTGAAGCATGGGTGATGAATGCTGCAACGAGGAGAAGGTTGGAGGCAGTGGAGATGTCATGTTTGAGGGCAATGTGTGGCGTGAATATAATGCAGAGAATTCGTAGTTCGGAAATTAGAAGAAGGTGCGGAATTACCAAAACTATTATCCAGAGGGCTGAGGAGGGGTTGTTGAGGTGGTTTGGACAAGTAGAGAGAATGAAACAAAACAGAATGACTTCGAGAGCGTATAAATCAGTAGTGGAGGGAAGGCGGGGTAGATGTCGGCCTAGGAAGGGTTGGAGGGAGGGGGTAAAGGAGGTTTTGTGTGCGAGGGGTTTGGACTTCCAGCAAGCGTGCATGAGCGTATTTGATAGGAGTGAATGGAGACAAATTGTTTTTGATACTTGACATGCTGTTGGAGTGTGAGCAAAGTAAAATTTATGAAGGGGTTCAGGGAAACCGGCAGGCCGGACTTGAGTCCATAAAACACCCCTCTGGCAAAACAGTGATGGAGTGAATGATGATGAAAGTTTTTCTTTTTCGGGCCACCCTGCCTTGGTGGGAATTGGCCGATGTGTTAACCCTTAAACTGTCCAAACGCAGATCTACGTTTTTTCAACATTTGAAAGTATGTAAAAAAAATGTAGTTTTTTTTTTTACATTTGAAAACGTGTAAAAAACTGTGATCTACTTTTTTTTTTTGTTATATTTGAAAATATGTAAACAAAATGTAGATCTACTTTTGGAGCACTACGCATGTGAACATAGATATGTTTGGACAGTTTAAGGGTTAATAATAATACAGTGGACCCCCGCATACCGTTGGCATCACATAACGTTAAATCCGCATACCGCTACATTTTATCGCCAAGATTTTGCCTCGCATACCGCTAAAAAACCCGCTCAACGCTGTTCGTCCGAGACGCGTCTAATGTGCGCCCTTAGCCAGCCTCACATGTTCCGCCGGCGGCATTGTTTACCAGCCAGCCTCCGCGGTAACATCCAAGCATACAATCGGAACATTTCGTATTATTACAGTGTTTCTGGTGATTTTATCTGCAAAATAAGTGACCATGGGCCCCAAGAAAGCTTCTAGTGCCAACCCTACAGCAATAAGGGTGAGAATTACTATAGAGATGAAGAAAGAGATCATTGATAAGTGTGAAAGTGGAGTGCGTGTCTCCGAGCTGGCCAGGTTGTATAGTAAACCCCAATCAACCATCGCTACTATTGTGGGCAACAAAAAGGCAATCAAGGAAGCTGTTCTTGCCAAAGGTTTAAGTGTGTTTTCGAAACAGAGATCGCAAGTGATGGAAGATGCTGAGAGACTCTTATTGGTGTGGATAAATGAGAAACAGATAGCATCTCTCAAGTGATCATAAGTGAAAAGGCTAGGAAGTTGCATCAGGATTTAATTAAAAAAATGCCTGCAACTAGTGATGATGTGAATGAATTTAAGGCCAGCAAAGGTTGGTTTGAGAGATTTAAGAGGCGTAGTGGCATACATAGTGTGATAAGGCATGGTGAGGCTGCCAGTTCGGACCACAAAGCAGCTGAAAAATATGTGCAGGAATTCAAGGAGTACATAGAAACTGAAGGACTGAAACCTGAACAAGTGTTTAATTGTGATGAAACAGGCCTGTTTTGGAAGAAAATGCCAAGCAGGACGTACATTACTCAGGAGGAAAAGGCACTCCCAGGACATAAGCCTATGAAAGACAGGTTTACTCTGTTGATGTGTTCCAATGCTACTGGTGATTGCAAAGTGAAGCCTTTATTAGTGTATCACTCTGAAACTCCCAGACCGTTCAGGCAAAAGAATGTCCTCAAGGAAAATTTGTGTGTGCTGTGGAGGGCAAACAGTAAGGCATGGGTCACTAGGGACTTTTTCAATGACTGGTTACACCATGCATTTGCCCCCAATGTGAAAGATTACCTAACTGAAAAGAAATTAGAACTTAAGTGCCTCCTGGTGTTAGACAATGCCCCTGGTCATAAGAACATAAGAACGAAGGAACACTGCAGAAGGCCTACTGCCCCATGCGAGGCAGGTCCAAGTCTCCTACCGGCTTAAGCCAATGCACCCAACCTAGTCAGGTCAGGTCACATTGACTTAAGGGAGGAACACGGCAACCAACCTGGTAGCACAAGCTATCAGGTCCAACTCACACCCACCCACATCCACTCATGTATTTATCCAACCTATTTTTAAAGCTACACAACGTTCTGGCCTCTATAACTGTACTCGGGAGTTTGTTCCACTCATCCACAACTCTATTACCAAACCAGTACTTTCCTATATCCTTCCTGAATCTGAATTTTTCCAACTTAAAACCATTGCTGCGAGTCCTGTCTAGGCTAGATATTTTCAGCACACTATTTACATCCCCTTTATTTATTCCTGTCTTCCATTTATACACCTCAATCATATCCCCCCTAATTCTACGTCTTTCTAGAGAGTGCAGATTCAGGGCCCTTAGTCTATCCTCATAGGGAAGGTTTCTGATACATGGGATCAACTTTGTCATCCTCCTTTGTACATTTTCCAGAGAATTTATATCCATTCTGTAATACGGTGACCAAAACTGTGCAGCATAATCTAAATGAGGCCTAACCAAGGATGTATAGAGTTGAAGAACAACCTGAGGACTCCTATTATTTATGCTTCTTGATATGAAGCAAAGGATTCTATTAGCTTTATTGTGAACACTTATGCACTGTTGTCTTGGTTTCAGATTACTGCTAACCAGAACTCCTAAATCTTTTTCGCAATCCGTAATATTAAGATCTACATTATTTAGTTTATATGTGGCATGGTTATTGTCCTGTCCAACATTTAGAACTTTACATTTGTCTATATTAAACTGCATCTGCCACTTCTCCGACCACTGCATCAGTCTATTCAAATCTTCCTGGAGTGCTCGAATGTCCTCGTGAGAATGAATTCGACGGCCTATTTTGGTGTCATCGGCAAACTTGCCGATGTCGCTCTTTATGCCCTCATCTATGTCGTTTATGTAGATTGTGAACAGCAGGGTGCCCAACACTGACTCCTGTGGAACACCGCTCGTGACGCTTCCCCACTCTAATTTCTCCCCATTTATGCAAACTCTCTGCTGCCTATTTGTCAACCATGCCTCTATCCAGGAAAAAATTTCTCCTCCTATTCCATGTGCTTTAATTTTCCTCAATAGTCTCTGATGTGGGACCCTGTCAAAAGCCTTACTGAAGTTCATATACACAATATCATATTCATTACCATGATCTACCTCCTCAAATACCTTAGTGAAAAAAGTTAATAAATTCGTAAGGCAGGAACGCCCCTTTGTAAAACCATGCTGAGATTCGTTGATTAATTTATGCTTTTCAAGGTGGCTACGAACTGCCTCGGCAATTATTGATTCCATAAATTTTCCCACTATGGAGGTTAGGCTTATTGGTCTATAGTTCAAAGCTAAGGACCTGTCACCTGTTTTGAAAATAGGTATCACATTTGCCATTTTCCACTTATCTGGCACCATGCCAGTTTGTAGTGATATGTTGAAAAGATTAACCAAAGGTGTGCTAAGCTCCTCTTTACATTCCTTTAGAACCCTTGCATACAGTTCATCAGGGCCTGGGGATTTGTTAGGTTTTAATTTATCTATTTGCCTAAGGACTATGTCACTTGTGACCCTAATCGTGCACAGTTTATTATCGTCCTGTTCTACATAATTTATCATTACTGGAATATCGCTGGTATCCTCTTGTGTAAAAACTGAGAGGAAGTATGTGTTAAAAATTCTACACATTTCCTTATCACTGTCAGTGAGCTGACCCGAGGAACTTTTGAGTGGGCCTATCTTGTCCCTGATCTTACTTCTGTATACCTGAAAGAATCCTTTTGGGTTAGTCTTCGATTCTCTTGCAACTTTAACCTCATAATCTCTTTTTGCTTTTCTAATTCCCTTTTTTATTTCTCTCTTTAACTGAATATATTGATTTCTTAATTGCCCCTCTCCTCTTTTGATTTGCCTATATATGCCTCTTTTGACCAATCAGATATTTTAATCTATTGTTCATCCATTTAGGATCATTTTTGTTTGATCTGATTTCCCTATTTGGAACATAATTTGACTGAGCAGCTAGAACTATGCCCTGGAAAGCATCATATCGGCAACCATCACCACCTACCTGACCCTTAGTCAGGTCATTCCAGTTCAGCCCACCTAAGTAATTTTTCAGTCCTATGAAATCAGCCAAGCGAAAGTCAGGGACGGAGACTTGATTGCCATTATTAGGGGAATTCCACGATATATTAAAACTGAGTGATTTGTGATCACTTTCCCCAAGCTCATCATTAACCTCAAGATTATTAATTAGTGTTTCCCTACTGGCAAGAACCAAGTCAAGGAGGTTATTTCCCCTAGTTGGCTCTGTCACAAACTGTTTTAAAAAACAATCCTGGATCGTATCAAGAAAGTCACCTGACTCTAAATTTCCTGTCAAATTGCTCCAGTCAATCTGTCTATAGTTGAAATCTCCCATTAGCACAACATTTTCGTATGTAGATGCCTTACGAATTTCGTCCCATAGAAGTTTACTGCACTCCATATCAAGATTTGGGGCCCTGTAAATCACACCCAAAATTAGTTTTTCTCGGCCCTCGAGAAGCTGTAACCAAACAGATTCAGTGGCTGATGCTTCTAATTTAATATCTTGTCTAACACAACAATTTAAATTGTCTCTGACATACATTGCTACTCCACCACCTTTCC